AACCAGCATGGCAGCTATATGTCACATGCACAGAAGACATGGCCACCATTTGACATAACAAAAGAATGCAAAACCATGGCCGCCATGCTGGTTGGTCAAAAGAACAAAGTTCAAATGCTTTCTTCAAGCCAATCAGCATGGCAGATATATGTCACATGCACAGAAGACATGGAAACCATTTGACATAACAAAAGAATGCAAAACCAAAACTTTTGCTGAAGTCAGCTATAATGTCACATACACCCAAGAATCATTTAAAGTGATTTATGAAGATGTTTTCAACGAACCTCTGGGCCACCACGATCGCCCTTTTCTCCTTTTGGTCCTTGACTTCCCTCTAGACCTGTTAGGCCTCGGCTTCCTTTTTCACCTTGTGGTCCTCTTTTGCCTGGTGGTCCTTGATCACCTGGGACAGAGAACAACCAAGTTAATAAGGTACCACGATGATCTAATAAAGCACGCCTATCCTACAGGAATCATAACATCTTTCTCCCTGATTAGTAGGGCACTTGTGCCCGGCTAGAAGAAATAGCGGCATTAATAAAGTTATTATTATATTATTATTATTATTATCTAATTACATACCTCTGTCACCCTTGTCTCCTTTTGGCCCTGGAGGACCTGGATCACCCTTTAGACCAGAAGGCCCTAAGATGCAAGCAAAAGATACTAGGTTAGTAAGCATACTTAAGTCACTGTTGCTCAAGGTTAGCCTCAATAAATTATTCATTTGTTCAAGTAAAGGTCTGTGGATCAACTTTTAAATTCCAATTGGAATTTATTGGATTTAAAAAACTACACAATTTGGTAGAGTAAATAGAATTACACAGAGTAATTTTCATTTAGGCTCTTCTAGATCGAATTAGAGATTAGAAGTTGATTTTTGTGGAGGGAGGAAAACTAGAGAACCCGGAGAAAAACCCTTAAAACACAGGAGAGAACCAACAAACTCTACTCACATACAACGAATCCGAGGATCGAAACCCGGGTCGCATTGGTGAGAGGCACACGCTCTCACTGCTAGGCCACCCATGCTTCCCATAAGAGCCACTGTTAAATCCAATTATTATTTACTATTGATTTTATTTTGAATTTCAAAGTGTTTAGAATTGTTTAAGTCATGTATTCTTCACTTTACACTGCAGTTGATATATGTGAATATTTTGTGATGTTGAAAATGAGAAAATGAGTCTGTAATCAAGGAATACAGTGGTGTTTGACTAATTCAATTGGTTTCTTTTGTCTTGCTCTCATTATATAAACACTCCTTCTCTACCACCTCTTTCTGTTTTACTTCGACGAAGGACTAGTGTCCCAAATGTCAGTAAGTTTTTTCATCTTTTCATGGTGTAAAATTTACCCTTTTATCATTACTATTAATTCAAAAAAGGTTTATTACAGGCCTTCTTTGAAGAAGTAAGATGACCTCTGTACACCTTTCTGATAAAATATTCTCAAGTAATAAGCTGTAGTCTGTTATACTACAGAATATGCATTTAACACCATACCTTGTTGACCTGTTAATCCTCTTTGACCTGGTAACCCAGATTGACCTAATGACAACAAGATTAAACATAAGCTCCATATGATATATACATTTAAACCAAGTCAATTGCAGCACAAAACAATTTCTTACAAGGGTAGCAGCTAAAAGCTAGTACCTAACAAACCTGTAGCCCTCGTTCCATCATTGATTAGAACTTACTGCAATTTCTTTGAAGGGAGGAAAACCAGAGAACCCTGAGAAAACCCTCAAAGCACCGAAGAGAACCAACAAACAACTCTACTCACACACAAAACTTGTTCTGAGAATTGTTCCCATTGGTGAGAGGGGAGAGCCTACGTGGCAAGCAGTTGATGTAATGTATTTATAAAAATACAATGAATCACACCTAATACAATAGAATACGATAGATTTTCTGAATACATTGCATCATCTGAGTGCTATGTAAGTTCTCCCTTGGTGAGAGGTGGGCGGTCTCTTCACCTCTATACCATCAGTGCTTTGCAATATAGCATACTGTAGCAATGACTGACTCACCATGAGGTCCTTGTGGTCCTTTCTTTCCTCTTCTTCCTCTTGGACCTGTGTGCAACAATATAATGCAATGTCAGAGGGTAATATGGCTTGGTAAACAAGCTTCAGGAATGTTAATTTAAATTTAAAAATGTCATGTACCTTTGGGTCCTGGTGGGCCTGTGATGATTGAAAGAAAAAATGCATGTAAGAAGAAAATTATCCTGTGGTTCGAGTAAAATTATACTTTATTTGTTTTAAAATGTCTATCATATTGTTTAAACACATTTAGATTTTCCAATGCTGCTTTCAAAATTCCTTCTTATTTTTTCATTTATTCACTCTATTTCTTTCATTCTAGGGCTTAAAATAATGCCAAGACATCAGACAATGTCTGCACAGAATTGGCGCTTGTCTGGTCAAATCTTTGCCGGTCATTTTGACCAGTAATGTTAAGCCAGAAACGAGGTTTGACCAAGATTAGACTAATTGTGCCAGTTATCATGACTGGCGGCTGAATGGCCATCATTTTAAGCCCTGTCAATCTTTGTCTTTTTCTTTTTCAAGGGCCAAAAGTTTTTTTCCCTTCTTTATGTGTCACCCTACTTCACTTTGCTTCTTTTTCTTTTCCTTCTTCTCTAACACAATACACAACCTTAAGGCAGCTTAAATATTTACTGCTACAGGTACTAATAATTGCTCATCATAGCATTTAAATACTACATAGTTATACTTCCTCTGATAAATATTTTTGCACATTTTTGTAAACATTATCATTTTTTTGTAAAAATATCTTCAGGCAATAAAATCAAACAAAACTAAAAATATCCTTAGCAACAATGACACATATGAATATAATTCTTCAAAATATATTTATATTATTTTATGTGCACAAGAAAGAGTATATCTACACATATATGACAAACTGATAAGGGTCATTAAATAGCAATTTTTGAAGTAAGTGCTCCAAAGGAATCAGGATCAATGACATGACATGTAATGGATACCCTTAAATGACTCTGACTCTGACCTGGTCAATAATATATATTCTAGTTGGAAGACCTTAAATCCAAAAATAGCATCTACATATACATATATAAATTAAATGAAATCTTTATCAAACCCTGAAACAATTTCTGGGCCAATCTATAGTTCAGTTGGGACAAGGAATGGACATGGCAAACTCACAGATTGTTGGGTTTTGCAAATGAAGGTAAACTGGAGAACCCAGAGACCTTGAAAATCCTCAAGGGAGAGACCTAACAATTAAACTCTACTCACAAAACTTTTGCAAAAAAAATATTGAAACTTTCTGGTATGGCAAATTGTCATGAACACTGGATATTGAACATTTACGTAACAACATCTTATATACAAACTGTGGTTATTTTCAGTGAAATTTAAATAATTATTTAACTTTGAAATGATTATTGAGAAGTTTTTCAATATTCTGCGAACTCAGGCATTTCAACGGCTTGTAGTGAAATTTGTTTTTTTTACTGCAACCAGTCAAGAACATAAAAAATACCAACATGTCCATTTTTGATTGACAGAAGCAAGAAACCAAATTTCAGTGTGTAGCTTTTAATTGAACTACCAAGTTCGCAGAATATTTAAAAAAGCAGTAATGTTTTGTGAAGAGCCCCAATTAAACCAGCTCTGCTGAACTGGGCATCTCTGCTTAAATATTGCCCATAAATGAATAAATATTAAATAATATTTTTGTCTGGGCTGATGATCTAAATCGAGGCACAAGCAGGTAGTTCAAAGATTAAATTCAAATTTATTGGGCAATTGGAGATGTATCCAGAAAAAAACTCTTGAATCAGGAAAGAGACCCAACAAACTTTAATTACACTGCATAGATTTTCTCAATAGTCCAGGATTCTATAGTCCGGGCTATTACTGATAAAGTGACTGTAGTATCACTCAGTAGCCAATCAGAATGGATGATTTATAGTGGTTTTTTAGCCTTATACCCATAGATAGCAGTTAAGGATATATCTTATTATTAATATTTAGTTTACTCCGACAAAGGACTAGCATCCGAAAAGTTAGTTTTTTCATGTTTTCATGGTGTAAAATTTATCCTTTTATCATTACTATAGTTTAAACAATAGTATTTTGACATTAATGATGTGAAAATAGTCCATTTATATTTACCATAAATCTAGAATTAACATTACCACAAGAAATTAATGGAATGGAAGCTCAAAGAGGGAAAAAATCTGAGCAAAGTTTGAAGAAAGTCTTAATTTATCGGAATGTACAAGTAAAGCTAGGTCATTAGGGGCACAATATCACAATTTTGAATGAAAATAATAGGTCATAAATAACATTATGTCCTGTGTATATATACCTAGGCCTAACAAATACTTCATTTATGCTTGTTGGATGAACACAATATTCTTTGTTAAAACTGCATAATAGTAGTAACTAAGTAAAACCCTTTACTCTGACGAAGGATCAATGTCTGAAATAATAGTACATTTCTAAACTTCTTTATGATGTGTTAATAATATAAGTTTCCCTCTGTTTCAGTCGTAATAATTAAACACACCAATGCATCCCAACTATTAATCGCTAGTCATTATTTATTTATACCTTTGTAAAAATTTAAAAAATATATATATATATATTTGATTTGATTTGCATAATTATGTGTTGGGCTCTGTGTATAGCCTGCATATACAGACTTGTGTGTCGTTCAGCAGCATGGAAAAAAAGAGATTTAAATTATGAAATCATTCAAGTGCCAACTGGCTTGTTTAGCCTATGGCTATTACAGCTGGCGTGTACCAATCTTCTGTATTCTTGTAGTTAATTAGCAAAAAACTAGCATTATACTGGTAAATGTTTAATTGAATATCTAATTTGATGAATCAAAGAAAAAAAAATGTATAAGGAATATTATCCAATGAGGTAAATCCTTAAATTGTTTATGAAATAATTGACAATTTATAATCGAACACATGCCCGATAGGACAACTAAATTGTATGATATATTTAGTCAGATATGATTGATAAAAGCTATATATATTTGTGCTATATTTGGAACACTTTTAAAATCTCTCTTGTATTTAATGGACTACCAAACCGCATTGAGATTTTACTTAATATTTGTAATTGGAAACATTATTGATTTTGAGGTCTGGCTAGCAAGTTAAGAGCACAATATGCTGAACAAATTGTGTGTCAAATCTTTTTTGACATGGTTATTTGTCATGCAGGCAAAATTAGCTAGCTCAGACAATAACACTCAATTCACACATCATGGCTTTGACTTCATTGAACCACAGTGCACATTAGGAATAAATTTACATTCAAACAAATACAAACAAGAGCAGCTATATTGATTTCTCAATCATGTGAAGTGAAGCTGCTAAAAGGGGTTTTGCCATGTGCTGTCATGTTATCAATGTGGCACTGATTGACTCAAAGATTCCACAGCCATCTGAAATGTTTTATGCTCAAAACATATCCTGTGTGCTATGAATGATTATAAACATAAAAAGATGTACAATAGACAGACTGATAACATCTAGGTAATTATACACCTAAGCTACGATGGCAGATAGTGGAGAGTTGATATCATTAGCAAGTTCTAATACAGGCCGTTGTTGTCCAAAAATAAACTATCCTAGCCTTCAATCATCTGCTGTAATAAACTTCAATCTGCTATTAATGGATTTAAAAAGGAATATTTTGTTATGGAGCTGGTGTTTGGCTTGGAATTCTGACAGAGCTCTTGCTAAGGGAATGGGTTTACCAAGTTTGATAGGATCCAAAAGATTTTGATAAATCGTCAAGCACTAAAGTTATCAATGTTAGATCTTTATCTTGTCTTCAAACCAAAATAAGAAGAGAAACTATAGAAACATTCAATTGGTTTTTTGTATGAATTTGTTTAGTAAATAATCAAGTAAATTTGACACAAAAAAATAGTTATAAACTTGTGTATTAGCAAAAGAGAACTAGTCAGAATTAATTCCAAAACTAATAGATTTTTCCTTAGAGAAATTTTTAATGTACAAAGATTTTCCTTAAGAAATAAATATTTATAAAATTGGACGTATAGTTAATTAGATAAACGATAGACTGTAATTCAGTTTAGTAAAGCTAATCAAGAGCATATTTGAGTATTGAGTTCTGTTTTATGGAGCATTTCCGAAATGAGAAGATACAACGATTATAGTTTGATGTTTTTCTTTCTTATTGTTTTGCGGGGCATCCGAGACACACTTGCAGGGCTATGATAATCACAATATTAGGAGGGTTCAGTGCTTTGTTCTATTCGATTACCTGTCAATTCTTCTCCATCATGCATGACGAAAAGCTAACTGAGCACGCTCGCGCTGGGGTACGCTAAACAAAAACACATCAACCAACGATTAATCGCTACAACAGCGAGAGGGCTTCCCGAAAACGTTCATTTCCAACAAGAAAAGATTAAACCCACTAAAAACCTGCGCTTATACACGTATGAGTTCAGCGATGCTGTTTTCTTTAAGGATTAAGCTCTCGATTGCTCGGCAATGATCTTGGAAGATCAAAGCTTGGTAGAATCACGCAGTAGAAATAGATCAAAGACGGCCATTTATAAGTCACTTGCACAACACAATACTAGATTTATTCATACTAGCAAAAGTTCTGCATGGTTGCTTGCCTATAGCCGCATAGTAAATAAAACTCTTAGAAGTACTTTTCCTCACGTAAAATTAGGGAATAAACTAGAGGTTTATGAGACGAAAATATCTTCTAAATGAGCTTGCGAAAGCTTATGGCGAGATTTACAGTCCTAGAAATGTTTGGAGACTTAATTGTAACGTACATTCCAATACACTCATTCATACGTACACTCTGCAGTTGTCTTCCATACGCCATGGTAAAGAATCTTAGATACCGACTTCCTGGTTCAAACTATCGTAACTACTTCAATGAATGAAAAAATTTAACGAGCAGTACTTCAATTCAGACTCATTTGGCTCCAAATGTGACACATAATTAGGCTTAGTACTTCACAACAAACTACTAAAATTTTATCTAGTAAATTTACTTACCTGGCTGGCACGTGCAGACGTCTGATCGAAGCCTACTTATTCTCTCTTTTATATGCTCTTTTGCCCATTTCTTGAACTTTTTTTTCGACGATTTGGCAGGTCTCGTTGGGTTTGTGTAATCCGTACTTCGCCGCCAAACTGCACTCTAGAGTTGACAGAATTAAAGGAAAAACTTTTACTCATACAGCTCAATAAACTGCTATCTCAAATTACAAGAGACGAGGAAAAAAACGGTCGTCAGAACGTAAAGTTTCTTCGAAATGAGCAGCAAATTCGTCTGCTTTTGAAGGCTGTACGCTATGTATAGTACAACTTATAAACACAATAAATTACCTTTAAAATTTCACTTGTTGTGAGTGAAATTGGTCCAGATGTAGTCGGCTGTAGAGATGAATTCGCTCTCTCCCGACCCGAGTCCGTAAGTGTAGAATTTTTATGTCGTAGTGAATTGCTGCCATTATTCGATCCAAACAATCCAAGCGGATTCACCGATGGCTGAGTTCTAGTGTCCCCGTTCGAGACTTCGGCTTCGTTTTCCAGTTTCGATAACCGTGTTTTAACATTTTCGAGTCTTAGGAAGACTACTATGAACAGACACATAAACACGAGATTTAAAATGATCAAGACGGTAATCAGATTTCTCGAAGAGAGCGCCGAACTACCGCAAGTACAATTCCTTCGATACGTGACATCCTCGTTGTCTTCGATTTTGTCTTGACGATTATTTAAGCCATCGGAGTTTCCATCCATTCTTCAAATTATCTACCACGTGTGATGCTAAGCGTAGTAAACCCAACCTTACAACATTTTCCTTCTTGTGCAAGGTTTTCCATCAATGGATACGACGGTTCGAGCTCCTTACAACTCTTACTCGATCACATTTGCAGTACGCGTATCGTATTCGCAAGGTACCCGTAAAAATGACTCTATAAACCCTGGTAGTACTGAATCGCGCCAAAACCCTCTCACTTGAGACAATGGCCAATGTCAGTCTTCGCGGAAGACTTGCACGTGTGTTACGTTCACAACAACATAACTGACAACATCTAAATCATTCACTGGGGTTAAGCCAATCACATTGCGTACTGAATCGGATATAAATAACTGGTGATTGGTCCATACAATAGAGGCCTGCTTTTCACACCTTTATACCCAATGGCTTTGTTACGACTGTAGACTTAAACAGCTTATTTAATTGTTCTCTTGTCAACCCAATGCTATCTTTTGTGTAAGTTTAGGTTGCGCTTTTGCAACCCGTCGTGAACAAGGCAGTGTAGTTCCACCTTTGCAGCAATATCACTGGTTGGCAAAGCTTTGGAGGCTGATAGCTGTTGGAATAGTAGGGAGCACAACGCTGAGATGAGCTATCGAATGCCCTGTGTACACAACTCGCGCTTTGCCGTCATGAAATCGTGTCTTTCTGGCTGACTGCCAGAATAACACATGGCATTTATTATACTATTCCTTGGCGATTATGGCGAACTGGTTTAGCGTGACGACTTATTACGGTCTCATGAAATGAGTTGGGCGGTACGTAAAAGCACTCTATTTTACTAAAAGAATTCAGTCTTTTTACCCGATTTACTACCAAAGTATTAGTCAAACAGAAAGCCAAAGAAGAGAAAAGTAAACACGAACGCTGCCAAGAAATAAACAGGAAATACTTAATCAAGAAATAGGCAAAATGACTTAGTGATCTCATTGATTCACGCACTTATTGGATCTAATATTTGTTCATAGTATTGAGTAAGATTTTGATGTGATGTGTGCCATCGTCAGGGAGCCATCCACGGTCGTTTCAATGTTAATTCTAGGTAGCGTTTCCGTTCGACCTTAGTGAGTTCGCGGTAGGGACGGGAATTTTTAGGCCCCTCCACCTTGAAAAGCCATAGAAAGGTCAAACAGAGAATGAGATTAATACGTGTAGTGGTTTGTAATGATGTGGTCCTCTCTACGCACGACAAAGAAGTTTGCCAAAATGTACAAGAAAGTAAAAAAGAAATTTAAAATGTCTGGAAAAGAGTTTGAAGATATTGCAGAGACTTTAAAAACTTTTTTGAAAATTCGACGCAAGGTTTACTTTGTGAACGAACTAAATAAACAAAGCGATTCCAAGAAGAGTAAAATGACTTTAAATTTCTATTGACAATCGTAATAACCTAGCATTTGACCATGAGATTACTTTGATATAGTCATGTTAAATAGTTAAGAAGCCCTAGCAACAGTTTTGACAAGTTTTCGATGTTAGAAGCCAAACTGAAGAATTTATCCATCAACAAATCCGAAGCTAAATCTTAATCAATCCTAATCTTTTTTAGGTTAAGATTAGATGTATGTTTAAATCCATTAATAAGTTGGGCTTAGGGGCTTATGAGTAGCAGTTTTATTTTACAGAATTGTCTGACACTAACTGAATTAGGAATAAACTGAGAATTTTAGCAGTAAAGATATTGACAGTCAATATTAGGCTTTTTACGCCCGTCTGGAAAAAAAGTCAACATGTAGCCAAGGTCAAACTGGACACTTTTTTTTGACATTCGAACATTTAAAACTTCGTCTGTAATTGAATCCATAGCTGAAAAATTCAATTGACTCATAAAAGCATCAATCTAAGTTTTGTTACATTAAATGCGATGTGGAAGTTCCTATATTTTTTGTTGGTTTTTTGGCGGAATACATCTGTGACGCAAGTGGTAGGTGTTCAAAAGAAAGTAAGCTGTACGGGAAGTGACAGTACATTTCCGTTATTAGATAACGGAGGGGGAGATGCCCCGCCCAGGTTCGCTAATAATGGTGTAGTAACTATACCTTGAATTGTCAATAGAGCACCTCTTTTCGGTGAAGACACATCTTTCGGGCTAAAAAAATCCCCCTGATCTATAGGAAACGAGCTAGAAATATAGAGAAATTGTTAAATAATTTTTCTAACAATTTGATAGTTTTTTTTGTTTTTTGTTTATTTTTAATTTAAAAAAACAATGCTACGTAAATTTGAATTCTTGTGGCATGCGCAACATCCGACGTTCTCGCCTTGGGCTAGTTTTAGGAACTTCTCGAGTATGCTATCATCCGGGTTGGTGAATGCGCCAAAAATATCGTCACACAAAATCATTAGATGTACGCTGATGTAATAATGGATTTAACTGGTTCAATTTACTAGATTAAGGCGTATGTTTTGCCGGATATGAGATATTCTTACCAAGGGTAATCTCATCTCTTGACGAAAGATTGTTCACTCTCGTTGAGCGTTTTCTTCCTATAGATGCGGCGGTTTAGTCAAAAGTAGAAATTTTATATGTAGTCACCTAAAGTAGCTGAAAGTTTTGGTTTTAGGAACGGAACTATTTTTGAATTCTTATTGTGGAATGAAAATCTCATGCAAAATCTAGTTGTTCAATACTGCTGAATGACATCCTACTAGTGAGTGTTTCCCGCGAATTCGTGGAAACTTTCGCAAACTGAACTCGGACATCCAAACTAGGGATTTTAATAAATTAATTTTGACGTCATTTCCACAGCTTTTGTACAAGTTGTTGATTAGCTTTGGTTTTGGATAATATTTGGCGACTTTAGAGTCGAAAATACCTCCAAAGCTGGGAGATTTTACCGATGTTAGTTGATGTTGTTAGAGACAACAGCCCCCCCAGTGAAACTGTGTGCAAAGTTTGACAACTCAAAGCTGTAAACAAGAAGCAAATCCCATAAGCCTACCAGGATGTCATGCAGAGTATTTTGAAATAGCGGGGGTAAAAGTGAACGAAGAAAAACGGGTTTTCAAAGAAAATATACCAAGATTTACCCAAAGGATTAATGAAAAATGAATCTCGGTGGAACGCTAAAAAAGGTTGGACAGATAAAACTGATGCCCGAAAGGAATTGTTTTACAAAAAGACAAAGCTGTTAAAAACCGTTGGTAATGAAATACATTAGAAGCAAGAATGTCCGGTCAAGTTTTTCTTATCCATTGTTCTGGTTTTTCTTTTCTTTTCTTTTTTTTTTTTTTCTTGTTTGATAAAAAGATAAATTGGTTCTTTTACTTGCAAGCAGCCAATGACGTCATGGCTAGGATAATTCGATCAGGGGTTAAAGGAGGAGAGGGGAGAACAACGAGGAGTGGCCGAATCCGCATCTAACCACAAAGGGGTTTGCGTTCGGGTAATAAAGATTGAGGGTAAATATAAGGCAATTATGATAAGGAAAACAAAGCAACAATACGAGAGATAATAGACCTTTAAAGCATAACTAGTGGTGTATACTGGTGTGGTTAGATAAGGTAATCAGTGTTATCGATAAAGATTGTAATCATTGTTTTTCATGTCACGATAAGAACCCATGTTACGTCAGGGTCGAAAGTTTGAAATCGTATTACGACAGAAAAGCCTCCTTTTCTGAGATGAGATCAGAAAAGCGACTTTCCCCTCAGTGCTATCTATATATTATCCATCTTATCCTGAGAATAGCTCTTGTCTCAAGGTTTATCAATGCGGCACTATCAACCGCTAGACCTTAGTCAATAAGCCTTTCTGAATGCAATAGCTAAACTCTAATATCAATATTTCTTTTACTAGAAGGTTAAAACCTATCACAAAATTTTTCCCGTGGCTTGAATGAGCGGTTGATAAAAGTGATGTGAACTAGATAATCCCTAACTTATCCCGTAGGATCAATACCGTGTTTGACTTTTGAGTATACGTGCCTTTATATCTGTAAGCATGATCTTTGAGACGCTAAGCAAACAAGAAGGAAGTGACAATAAGATGAAGTTGTAGATAAAGTGACTGGTCTGTTTCTATGGTATTTAATCATCTCAGACTGGGGGGGATTTTTAATGCGGGTAAATGGCGGAAATGTAGAATGACTTGTGTTCTGATTTAAGACAAATATATAATGTTATGGCGTTCTTCTCAACGCGTAAACCCTTAGAAGCTGCGAGGTAAGGTCATAGTTGTGACAGACGAGTTTAAGAGTTGGTTTCAAAATAGTACGAGTTTGAAACGTTTTAAAACCTACCATCAAGCCACTTCTAGAAAGAAACTAATCACGGGAGGGGGGAGGGGAGGGTGCCGACAATTTCACCAATAATATTACCCGAAGGTAAGCTCGAATTACAAAACTAATTTTTTAAAGTGAAAACATCAGTAAAATCATGATTGGGTCTTCTTTAACTGACAGCTCTAAAAAGGAAGAAAATTACAGATGCTTATCTACATGCAAACAAGCCGATGTATGGCTCTCTCGTGCTGATGAGGTGATCAGTGGTTCGACTCGATCAAGAAGTCTGGCGCCAAGAGGGTTGATGTTGGTCAATGAAACTATAGAATTAGACCACTTCATAAAATAAACATTGTTAATATCCGAGGTCATTTGTTATTGGTCTTGACAACGAGACATCTTTGCAGTGACTCGCAATGTTGGTAACGTCGATAATGGTCTTTCGTTACTTCTAAGTAAGGGTTTGTGGGGGGGGGGGGGGGGGGGGGGGGGGGGGGGGGGTAGGGAGAGGTCAAAAGTTCACTGCAGATACAAACCGAGGAAATAAAAGAATAAGAAATAAGAGAATGAAACTAGGAATTGCGTGTGTCTATATTTGGTAGATAGGAGAGGGTAAGGCAGAATGCGTGATTCAAATTATGGCAATAGATACGTAAGCTAATATATTGACTTGTGTCTGTCCATGTCTGTCTCCCCAATTAAGCACCCAAGCTAGAGAACAAGCCGTTGCTAGGGGTGACGGAGGACAGACACACAAGTGATACTTTGTTGAATTCATACAATGCTCTACTCATAAACCTTTTGTCATTGATGTATTGAGGTAAAAATTGGCTTCTTGGGTTGCAAGTATCCTGGCGCCAAATCTTAAATGATCAAGGAAGGTCAAAACACTTGCGGATGGGACTAACGTAAGAAGCATTCTCTTATTTATTCCTAACGATAATTGAAAAACTAATAGTGCTACTACCAGCAATGATTTAAAATGGAAAAAACAAAGCCTTTTTACACGTGCTGCAAGAGCATTTTTGTTAAATGTGTCACGATTGCATGGTTGAAAAACATACTAGATACTTGACTATTGTTGGCAAATAGATTAGTGAAAAGATATAAGAAATGAATTGACGTGAGAAAGGTCAATAGGGATATAACAGGAAGATTAGAGTGAATATCTTTCGTGTGGAACATCACAAATGGTTATGATAATTTTACAGACGAGAGAAATCGTGTGAGGGAAGTACAGAGATAAGTAAGGAAGGAAGGAAGGAAAGAAAGGAAGGAAGGAAGAAAGGAAGAAAGGAAGAAAGAAATCCGGAAATGAAAAATTGGGAAGAAACATTGAATCGGGACACGTGAAGATAAGATAGAAGGATTAAAGAAAATTGGAAAAATAGGAAGGGAGAAAGGAAATCAGGGTTGCAAAATATAGTGGATTGGCAGAACCGGCTCAATAAGTGTGAGAAGCACTCCGCTACGCTTCGTGCTTCTGCTAACACTTCTCTAATAACAATATTTATTTCTTTCGACAGTAAACCTATGTCACATTAGTGATTTACAATAGGAAACTGCCAGCCCCCGCGAGCTTTATAACTGCACACAGCACGCGCGCGCGTTTTCTATTTCTTCAGTACATCCTTATTAAGAATCGAGATTCTCATGGTGCGAGGGGGATTGCGATCCCCACAATTCTCCCCCTGGATACGCCCCCAATGACACCACGATTGGAATGTTTCATTGTAATTTAGTGTTGTTTGATTACCTTAGATTAAAAACCATTTGAAAGTCTATTTGTTTGTGTAATACAATTCGATGGTAGAAAAAGCTGGCGTGATCAGCTTCACAGAGGGGATTCCAATTTCATTCTACTGAGCGTAAAGAGCATGATTAGCTTCACAAGATCTTACTAAAGGGGGGTTCTATGGCACCCACGTAACCACCCCTAGTGGACCTGCTACTGGAGTCGGGTAACACTAGGAAGATGACTGATCAAAAAGAAACACCTCTAAAAAGAATGATAATAAAAACAGACGAAAAACAAACAAGCAACAACCGCGTCCGATCACGACAAAAAAATAATTAGAGTACAGTGAACTAAACTCTCTAGCCCGCTAGCCCGAGGGCGTTTCTGAACCGACATGGCTATATGGCATTACACACTGCAGTTGATGTTTTTATACATACTAGAATATCTTAGACCGCTGGAGAAAATTGGTTTAATACGCTATTTACAATCAATTGCGTGCATGGTATATACAATACATGAAAAGATAATATTAGGATATTATTAGTAATAAAATACGCCGTAAACAGCAGCCACGCAGAAGAATGTGTCCTAAAGAAAAAGATAAAAACGGTTTGTCAGAGATTATGTTTCCTTGGATCTCAATCGGTCACTACATTGTCAATGGTTATTTGCCTGCTTTAGTCATGCAAACTACTTTAAAATTACCAGTCTTAAACGAACACTGCTTATGGCTAATGCTGGAGTTCATTCTACTGAAGGCTATCGCAAACAAGACTAAACCTGCTACAAGCTACAGAATTAGGTAAACAACTGTAAAATTCCATATTATAGTGATAATGATAATAGTAGTTTATAGATGCAAAATGCAAAACAAGCGAGGTGTTACTTGTTGCGCAAGGAGGTAAACATATGAACTGACCAAAATGCATTCAGGGCAGCAAAGACAAGACTAAGTTTTAACAAATTGTGCGAAAAATAGGGCTTTTCCATAAAGCTCCATGACTTTGGATAAAAGAGAGCAAATTACGTAGAATGCTTTGAAAGCACACGCTCCAATCTCGGGGAAAAGAAAAAAATCGCTCTTTGATGTTTTGAATAACTGAAGGAGCGATTCGGAATGCGTTGTTACTTGGCGAGCGACCAGAATATCCAGGGCCACGGAACCACTCTGGCACAAGGATAGACACTATTCATCTAATCATACTGATACAAAAGCACGACACTAATTGTGTAGATTAGCCCTGGGCTGTAACAATTAGCATGTGCCTTAAAAGACTCAACTCTTTATTTATAATTTGTATTAATCTTTGTAAAAATGCCACTAATTAATTTTAAAAAGTTTTAAAACTAAAAGTACACGGCACGGTCATGTGATGGTCATGAACAAAACATCCGTACCGGATAAGGGATTTAAGTGACCAAGTTATTATTCAAACGAGGAGGATTGAAGAAGTAATAGACAGTTAAAGGGGGGGGGGGGGGGGGGGGGGGGGGGAAGGCAGGCAAGATGTACCTCATGAAATGGTGAAGTATTAACACTTACATGGTTTACCATCATTCTCTACCCCTCCCTTCCCCTCTCTCTAAGCTATGCCCAATCAAATCTAACCACGTGCGAGTTGGGTGTTACCAAATCACTGATATACGAGTGGCAGGGGCGAAATACGATTAAGGAACCAAATATTTACCTAAAGATATGACGTCAATGATGCAATACCATGTTTACTCAGAGCAAACACGACCAGTACATACCCGGCAACTGTTTTGTTACCTACGATGTTTTACACCACAATCACCAAGTTATTAGTAGTAATGAAATTCGTTCGCAAGAAACGCGAGGAATGTTTGCACGGCATCTTAGCTATGCCATGTTTTCAGACGATTAAGGTAGACAAGAGGCAAAGGTCGGTCAATAACTTGAGCTGTCAGCTGGTATATATCTTCACCTTTTAAACTCTAAATGATCTGATGACAGGTTACCGCGTCAAAGGTGTAGTGCTACTATATTCATCGTTGGACTAGGTAAACAAGATCATCATGCAAATGACAAAGGCACACTTTAGGAACGAGGGAGACATTGGACTTCCTAGTATGTCAGGCACGAAATACTTTGGGTACAACGACATGGTTAAAAAAGGTTAAGAAAGAATATAACAGATATGAGATGTATATCTGTATATCGGTGTAATAATAACAGATTGATGATCGCTCTTAGAATACGAGTACCCTAAGAATGACGTTTATAGTCAAATGGAATGCATATAAATGTTCGCTGATTGGCTAATTCGTTTGAGCTGACAGAAGAAGAATTTCCTGATCTCTGCCTTAGCACGGAAAGCAGTACTTATCAAAGACTTATCGGCCAACAGAAATATGGAAAGGAGAGGTGGATGGAGGTTAGACGTAATCGCAAACAAAATGACAAAGATAAAGCTGGAGTATGGATGTCACAGCAAGGAAACAGTCTACCAATCCATGTCCCTGGGCGATTCCCTATTCCATTATAGAAATGTTTGAATATAGGCAGCATGACAGCAAAAATGGAACATTTTAAGAGACCAAGTCGGACAACCATAAATTTGTTAACCATCCATAGAGTTGTCAGCCATAGGAGGATTTTACCTTGACAAACATTTTGCGCATGCGTTCTCAAAGGTCATAAGCGTCAGCTTTCGAAAATTAGGGTTTGAAAAATTTAAGTCAGGTTTTATTAAAACCACACCTTAGTTTTGCAGTTGTTAGTATAAAGAGGAACATGGACGAACGCTACATACCCACACAACCAGCTCTAAATTGGAGAAGTCTAGGTTTTTGGTTTCCATCAATCAAAGATCAGTACCGACCACAGACAATTGTAACTTAATTGAGTTGGTCGTTTAATTATGAAAATGGGTTAAAGGGTAATCTTAAACGCGTTCCTCGAAAGCGAGCGGGAATATTATCTCACGTTAGGTTTCGTCTGACCTCGTTTGGCGTTTTGGTAGGAAAACATCACGTACGCATGGCTTGGTGCACACTTTTTACGAGTGTGGAAAACCGTGACACAGAAATGGCTTCCGCTTTAAGCCAATAAAAAGAACACGAAAAATGAACTATCCAATCAAAAGGCTTGGAATGGGAATCCATTTAAGAGTGACAGTGAATGGGTTTCCCATACCGACATGAACTCTGCTCTAGATATTAGCTACACTGCAGCTATTTGTGGCATGTGTAGGTACTTAGAAAACAATGTTAAAACCAGCAGGAACTCATAAAAACAATCTGAGGCTGTAAAATAAGATAAAAAGTACTATAGAAATTTAAGTGTGCCCAGATGCACATAAAAATGTAGAGAAAAGGCCAAGGAAAATATTTTGTTGCTTTGATTAAAGACTATATTAAATAGGAAAGAAACGATTTCACATGTGGAGTTTAAACCTCGGAACATCGCACACAAACATCGACTTTGAGCAGAATAACAAAATCCAATTTAAATAAATTCTTTGGAAACCAATACAAAAAATTAATAGCCCCAAAATGCGGTTTTACTTTGTTGAAATGATTTGTTTGTTTTTCGACAAGCCTACAATGATTTCGAAACAGCAATACTCGTAAATATATAGGGTTTATACGTTAAAAAGGACAGAGAAAAAACATTGTGGTAGAACATATCTACATACATGTGGGTAAACACATCTGCTTTGCGTGTGAAGTAAGGAATATACAAAACATTTCTCATGAACGAGCAGAGTACAATAACCCAACAACAATAAAATAAGATAAACCCCGTAAGTAAAGATCAGTTATAAAGAGGTTTTAGTACGAAGTCGCGATTCCAGTTTCTAGGCAAATTCAGAATGCTTTTTAGGCCAAGAATAAAGAGAAGTCTTCCACACAACGCTCGTCACCGAACAATAATACTTGTAAAAGCACTTAAGACCCATTTTACTGTCGAGTACTCGATTAGTTGGATTCATTCGGTCAAGGTTAAATAAAGGCGGGGAGGGAGGGCGCAAACACAGTAAACCGTAACAAAACAGCTGGCCTCTGAACAGAGTCCGCAGGCACAATTGCGTGGGTCGCAAAGCACCGAACTAGTTCAACTGCGATGCTTCGATTCTTCACTCTAATCAAAGAGGAATTAGTCACTGTTATTGAAAGCCACGAGCGGAACGTATGTCATAGAGCTTAGTTCTGCTTTCATTGTTTGTGTATTTTTTACGAGTTTCGAAAACAAAGGAACTGTTAGGGATTTTTGGGGCTATTAGTTGTGGTTGTTAAAATCAACAGTGATAATGAATAGAACAGTGTGGAAATCATGTCAAGTCACTGGTTATTGTGACTAGTGTGGGCACGGCGTTCTTGCGCAGCAAACCTAGTGCGTCAATCCAAACACTCGTAGTATTATCATGTGCGAGGGAGGGACAACATACAAAGGGGAGTAAAACAAAGGTGGATTAGGAGGATATGATGTGTGAGATAACACTGAGTGACTATGTTGGAGGTGCAGTGCTCAGTATTTTGTACAAAGAAATATCATGAAACACACACCAGAAATACTTCCTCATATCTCAGAATGTTTTGATGCAACTTCAATGCCCAATTTAACGTACAAGGAAGGATATTTGAGAATATTACATAAAGGTTTTGTACAGCTACGGCAAGAGTACAATTCTAAAAGAATCAACATTACAAATCTTCAGCGCTTGAGCATAATTTTTTTTAAATTGCACTAGTGATGAAAGAGGGGAAAAAAAAAATTTTAAATATAGCTCAGTTGCAACACCAATGAATCATTGTGTACATCACGAGGTTATGGTTCGCTAGTAGTTTTCCCAAAATCAGTCATTTTAGTGGATGAGAACGAAAAGGAAAGCATAATAGTGCTTACAATTGCTTATGAAAGCAAAAAAATCTCTGGGCTTTCGTTAAATGATATGGGGAAAATTTTGTACGTATAGCAGTGATATTAGTGGTGTTTATAAGATAAGTTTTTTTAAAGTAGTTTTCTATTAGAACCATTATACCGAAAACAAAAGAGCTATACCCTAAGTGTTTTGTCAAGGTAGGTTGAATCATGGTCCATTAATCTAAGTTTTGAATTACTGTCACGTACAAAATGGATGCATGCCACGCCCATGCCTGCGTTACTTGGTGGTCTGCGGTGTTGTCTTGCTCTCGTCTTTGTCCTCCTCCTTTTTTTGCAACGAACAAAGAACAAAGAGCGCAAAGAACACTATGTTTATATAACAACACAAAGACTACCTACACAAATCTGTCTATATGGGACATCTACACCTATATCTATAATCCCATCAACCGTTTGTTCAAATACCAGCCAATACAAAACATATAGCAATATCTACACCTATCCACTGTCCTATGACTATTTGCGTGCCTATACTAATAAGAGAATTAATACCTATATTTACTACAATACTTCAGCCTGATAGGTGTATCCACAGCTATTTTCTAGCATAAATATCAAAGGGCAAATGACCTGTTTTAAATTTATGTCAAGGAGACAAACCCACAGGAACCCCATCCGTATTAATCATAATTTCCTCCTTAAGCTTATCACGTGATTAATTAATACGAAACAGACAAAA